GGGGTCGGGTTAGAGCGGGGGAGGGGCACCCAAAAATTTGGGTGGGTTTTAGGGGGGCTGAGTAGGGGGTAGAGAGGAGAAAACGGGGACCCCCCTTTGGGGGATTTGGGGAGGGGTCCCAGGACGCCTGAAACCATTTTTTGGGGGGGGTCGGACCCCTCCCCCGGCGCGTTTTTTTTGGACATTTTTTATAATAAATGAATTTTTTAAAAGCGGTAAAAACTGCTGCGGGGTTTAATTTATTCCCGGGGTTGTTTTTTCAGTGAAAATCCGCCGTTTTGGGAGAGTTTGGGGGGGGTCTGGAATATCGGGGAACCCCCAAAAAGACGGAGTGGGCGTGGGGTTTCAGCCCAAGGGGGCGGGGTTTGTTTTTGGGGCGTGGTTTAAGCGGTGGGCGTGGCCAAGGCGGGGAGGACAAAGCGCGGCGCGGCGGGCGTGGCTTTAGTCAAGAGGGCGTGGTTTCCGTTTTGGGGGCGTGGTTTGTGCTGTGGGCGTGGCCACGGCGGGGAGGACAAAGCGCGGTGCGGTGGGCGTGGCTTTAGCCAAGGGGGGCGGGGTTTTGTTTTATGGGCGTGGTTTGAGCGGTGGGCGTGGCCACGGCGGGGAGGACAAAGCGCGGCACGGTGGGCGGGGCTTTGCCCATAAAAGGAGAAAGCCACGCCCCCTCTGCGTGCGTGGTGACGTCACGGCGCGCGGCGCGCTCGCTCGCGATGGAGGCGGCGGGAGGCGGCGAGGTCTGAGGGGAGGGGAGACCCGCGCGAGTTTTTGGGGCTTTTTGAGGCTTTTTGAGGCGTTTTTTGAGGCGATTTTGGGGGTCCCGGCGCCGCGCGGGCGGTGAGGGGCGCTTTGTGCCGCGGGGGGAGGGGCGGGAGCCGCTGGCGGGAGGGGCTCTCCCCTCACGGCGCTCTGTGCCCCTCCCCCCCTTCCTCAGGACCCTCCCGTGGGGACCCTCGTGATGGAGGCGGCGGGAGAGGCCGGTGAGTGACCCCTCTACCTTGGAGACCCCTCAGGATCCTGTTTAGATCCGTCACCAACGAAATCTCGCCTTGGATTCCCCTCAGGATCCTCCTCAGGACCCCTCCCCAAAATCCCGCCTTGGATTCCCCTCAGGATCTTGTTTAGATCCCTCACCAACGAAATCCCGTTTTGAATCCCCTTCAGGATCCCCCCCAATAAATCCCGCTTTGGATCCCCCTCAGGATCCTCTTCAGGACCCCTCCCCAAAATCCCGCCTTGGATCCCCCTCAGGATCCTGTTTAGATTCCTCACCAACGAAATCCCGCCTTGGACCTCCCTCAGGATCCTCCTCAGGACCCCTCAGTAAATCCCGCCTTGGATCCCCCTCAGGATCCTGTTTAGATTCCTCACCAACGAAATCCCGCCTTGGATCCGCCTCAGGACCTTCCTCAGGACCCCTCCCCAAAATCCCACCTTGGATCCCCCTCAGGATCTTGTTTAGATCCCTCACCAACGAAATCCCGTTTTGAATCCCCTTCAGGATCCCCCCCCAATAAATCCCGCTTTGAATCCCCCTCAGGATCCTCTTCAGGACCTTTCCCCAAAATCCCACCTTAGATCCCCCTCAGGATCCCCCTCAGGATCCTCCTCAGGACCTTTACCCAAAATCCCGCTTTGGATCCCCCTCAGGACCCCCTCAATAAATCCCACCTTGGACCCCCCCTCATAAATCCCCCTCAGAAACCCCCTCAATTAAATCCCGCCTTGGATCCCCCTCAGGATCCTCTTCAGGACCCCTCCCCAAAATCCCGCCTTGGACCCCCCTCAGAATCCCCCTCAGGACCCCTCCCCAAAATCCTGCTTGGATCCCCCTCAGGATCCTGTTTAGATTCCTCACCAACGAAATCCCACCTTGGACCCCCCTCAGGGTCCCATTTAGACCCCTCACCAACGAAATCCCGCCTTGGATCCGCCTCAGGATCCCTCTTGGACCCCTCCCCAAAATCCCGCCTTGGAGCCCCCTCAGGATCCTC